TTTTTAACACAGCTTAATGATATTATTTTTTAGAGTTCTGGTAAATCTTTTGGAGTTTTTTAGAGTCTTAATTTACGTAGTTATATAATTCTTAGTTTTTATCCATCGACATGCACCATATTCACAAATGGCGGACACGCGGGAAAAAACTGGTGCCTAGTCATGAAAGCGAGGCGTTGGAGGATAAACAAAAATTGCAAATGGAGACTTTCAGTGAACTTGCAGAGTGTTTAGCACGGATTCCACCTAAAATAACTTTGTATGGACGTCTTTTTAAATACAACGATGTGGCACGTCTTCTGCTTTTAATGTTTAGTACTGATATGCTGTTTGCAATCAAATTGGACGCGTACATGTTCAAGGAAACAGGATGATTCTGAAGGTTTCCGAAGCCTCAGAAGCTCGACAACTTAGTGGGCGATGGCTGGAGAAAAGCGGCAAACATGTTGGCCCAGACTTCACACTGAAACCGAATACGAAAGCCAGCTCACTACTGTTCTGTAAAACAGAAATAAAAACAGATATTGGTGGCAAGAAAAAAAGAAATAAGCGACGGATATATGGCCTACTTGTCAACGGAAGAGACCTCCGCCATTACACAAAACAGGTCAAGTCGAGAGCGGGTGAAAGATTCATTCACGAGACTCATTCATTCATGTTAGTGTCATTTTATACATATCTATGTATGTCTGTATTTACAGCTTCCTTTGGATAATATTAATTCCGTCGCTTTGGAGTGAATTGTTGGAGGTACGTTGGCAGAGCTTAGCAAAAATCTTTTGACTTCTTTGTCATTGCGAAATAAAACAATTTTATCAAAACTAGAAGCTGTAGTGTGTGAATCTTATGGCTTGCTATTTGCCTGGTCTCCTTTAGGGCATTATCTCGGACTGCTTTTGGTAAAAAAGTGGTATAAAGCTCACATTTTACTAAGTTAAACTTTTAAGGCAATGTTTGTGTCAGGACTGAAAACGGCAAGCTTCTGTTTCGAATCATTAAATTCGAGTCTGGATCCGTTTAAGAAGACCATCATTTTATTTATTTATGTATTCTTCACTTTTAAAATATTATGGATCATGAAGTTAAAACTCTTAACAGCCAAAGATAAGAAATACGAAAATTACTCGCTGACATGATATGTGGCCAGCTTACCGAGTCTGCCGAGTAACAAGTTGAAATTTTGAGCGTACTCCACTCGATCGCTCCTGTATTTATACTAAAAAAATAGTTCTAATTGATGTCCTTCATCGATGAAGACCAGAGAATAACGTACTGGTAAAAAAAAAACAAACATAACTTTATCGAAACCTCAGTCACCGCTTCTTTCCTGTCTTCCTTTTTTCCATCTCGACTTGGACTGTTTTGTTCAATGGCAGACGTCTCTTGCGTCAACAGTCAAGTAGGCCAAATATCCGTCTCTTATTTCTTTTTTTTTTTTGCCACCAAGATTTGCATTGTTTATATTTCTGTTTTACCGAATTGCAGTGAGCTGGCTTTCGTACTCGGTTTCAATGTGAAGTTTGGGCTAACATGTTTGCCGCTTTTCTCCAGCCATCGCCCGGCCACTTGTCGAGCTTCTGATGCTTCGGAAACCTACAAAATCATCCTGTTTCCTTGAAGATATACGCGTCCCTTTTGATTGCAAACAGCAAATCAGTACTAAACATTAAAAGCAGGAAGACATCCCACGTAATTATATTTAAAAAGACGCCCATACAAAGTTATTTTAGGTGGAATCCGTGCTAAACACTCTGCAAGTTCACTGAAAGTCTTCATTTGCAATTTTTGTTTATCCTCCAACGCCTCGCTTTCATGACTAGGCACCAGTTTTTTCCCGCGTGTCCGCCATTTGTGAATACGGTGTATTGTGCATAGTTTTTACATTTTTCTGATAGTTAATCTGTTAGTTTTTTTCCTTTAATTGCTAATTTTTTAGTTGCCCAGGGCACCCATTTATAGCAGCTTCAGCTGACGGGCTTACCCTCTGGTTACTTATTATTATTATTATTATTATTATTATTATTATTATTAATTATTATTATTTTTAGTTAAGACTTTTTTGTTTAAATTAGCCTATGACTTTTAGCAGTTTTTGCGATAGTTTTAATGTTTTTAAAATTTTTTTTAGATAGTTTTAATATTTCTAGATTATTTTAAATTAATATTTCCTTTATCATATATCTACCTGGAGTTTTGAAAACCGGGTTGCCTGAAATCTTAAGTCAAGTCCAGCACATTCCAGGCAATCTTTCAAAACTTAATTTGCTTCAAGCCGTGATGCTTTTAGTGTAAAAATTAAAATCTCCCTCTTCAGGACTAACCACCCTCAGCTCTTAACCATGGGCTCCAAATAACTGCCTGGAATTGACAGAAATCAGTGGAAATTCCTTAAAATATGCACAAGGGGTTGTTGTTGCCCCTGTTGAGCCAGCTAATTTTTTTTTGAGGGGGGTTTCCGTCAAGCTAAGTTTCACGTTGTTGCACAGACACAGGGCTATCATCTGGTATGCATTTGGGGTAGCCTGGTTAAATTCCAGGTGGGTGGGGTTGTTGTAAAGTTTGATGTGTTTTCGAACTGTTATGCAGTTTGTTTGTGCTGTTTGCATGCAAGCAATGACCCATTCTGTTGATAATGTTCCAAGTCAGCAAACAGTAAAATTGGTGGTTGTAGGACTTGGTTTTGTTGAGCAGTGTTGGTTTAGATTGTTTTTGGGAGACCAGTTGCATTGAAAAATGGGGTGAACTGGGAAAAGGGCTTTGCGGCAAACGGTGCCGCTAACACTAAAAATTGTCCCTTAAAATGCCTTATTTTCTAGCGGAGCTCCACACGCGCGCGAAGCGCGCGCGCGTGGACGGAGCCCCATAGCTAAGTTAATCTACCCATCCCAGAAAATTTGGTTATCACGTGACCGTACACCGAACGAACGAACGAACGACCGTCCGTCCGCACCACAGGCATACCAATGTTTACTGTCACACTTTCTAGCTAGTTTGGGAGCCCAGGAGAAAAGTAATTGCACATCAATGTTGTGATCAATTGACAGCTGGCAAAACAGGGTATCCGCTGACCAGTATCACCTGACCGTATCGCGGGCTCAGATGTCGATCCATCGAGGTCAAGTATTTTTTGAAGTTATTCCCTGACAAGTTACTAGTTTTCAAATGATCGCAAGCTCAAGTTTGTTTTTTTTTAAAATTTATATGAAACATGTCGTGTTTATGTCACTATGGCCCAACACTATTAAGATTTTGATTTCAAACTTACCTCGGACACGAAAATTCAGCCAGTTATTTAAAAACACAGGCTGAGAAGACCTTTTGTTATCATGGACACGCGTTGGTCACGCTCTACGTCCAATTTTTATGCTCTGATTGGTCAAAATTTGACAGGTGAGTTCATGCGGAAAATTTGTGCAGCATCTTGAAACTTGTTTACTTTTGACAGCTGAAGCTGACAGAGTTTTGTGTCAACTTGTGATGTTTTTTTTATGTCTTTCTCCACTGGATGTACAAAATGAAATACAGCTGCTATCAAGAGTCTTCTGTTATTCATGGCTGGTTTGTTTATTGGGTTTTTGGTTGAGAAATGCTGCATCTTGAAACTTGTTTACTTTGACAGCTGAAGCTGACAGAGTTTTTTGCCAACTTGTGATGTTTTTTACTGTCTTTTCCCACTGGATGCACAAAATGAAATACAGCTGCTATCAACAGTCTTCTGTGATTCATGGCTGGTTTGTTTACTGAATTTTTGGTTGAGAAATGCGCCGCTTGTCAAAGTCACAAATCCGATTTCGGATGACATCGTTTTCATTTTTCACCTTGCTGGATGCGGGTTGAAAAGTGCCTCAAGCGGCTTTCAGGAGCTGCATCTCGAATGGTAAGTCTGAGTAATTATTGTGTTTGTTTTTTGTATATCTAATTTCATGAAGTCGAGCGCAGTTTATGAGGCTAGTTTATGCACGTTTGTATTAAGATCTGAGACAATGATCTGACCTAGTATGAGATTTGGTATAAGCTTACAGAACTTTAAAAAACCTTTAGTCGATATTTTCTCTCCGCAAATAGAAAGAAAAAATGTTCCGAAGAGTATTTAGTTATAATTTTGGCTGTAGAAAGAAAGCTTTGAGCGATTTTCTTGCCTCGAGTTCATCTTTGAAAACAGTAAACACGGGGAAGCCGGCTAAAAGCTTTAAGCTTCAGCTTAAGGACTTAGGATTTTTAGAGACGCTTTAATACTTGTCTTCGTGAATGAAAATTTTTGTCTCTGTAAATGTTTCACCGAATTATATTTCTTTTATTGATTGGTAGTAGTCTCTTGCAATTTTAAACACTTTGCCGTTTGTTTTCAGTCGTTCATAAACATCGCTTGCAGGAGTACTCAAAATGCCGCGCGTATCAAATGCTTTTTAAGATTACACATCGTTTTAAAATCATTAAATGAAAAATAAACACAATAAATTCTTTATTATGTTGAAGCGTAACTCTTTTAATGCTTATACTGAAAATTTGGCGCTTGTCAAAAGTGAGAACCGGCTGGCCGTGTAGGGGTTTTTTGAAGTTTTTTGAACGGTTTTGCTAAAAGCCCACGTGTGCTTCGATGGTTCTGAATATTTGTCTTGAAAAATTGTGAAATACTGCATTTTGTCTGAGGTCTGTATGATAAAAACAGCGCCTCATATTACTGTTTCACCTCAGATGTGATGTATAAAAAGTATGAAATGTTGGTTTACACGCACCCAGATTTGTTGGCAAGATTTTGTTAAGTAAACTTGTCGAACGGCAAAAATTCGGCCTGATTTGTTTTCCAAGAATTCGTTTTCCAGGCCTAATCTACTGTGATCAAGAGCCATCATGGCTCTTAAATGTGATCGAAGATGATTGCTATTTTTTTGGGTGTACATATAAGGCTATCAAATCGATGTAAGATTTTTTTCACTCTAAAATCACTTAGCCCTAGCTTTCCCTAAAAAGTCACATAGGTGCCCTTAAGTTAACCGATTTGTAGATTACAGGTTTATTGTTTGATCTGAATTATAAATTTATTAATGGGAGCTTCGCTTTTAGCCCTGGCTAAATCTATATATTAGACTAACGAGGAAAGCTTCACTTTTGTTACGTTCAAGACAGACGTTTCTATCAAATGGAAGCTCATGTATTCAAGAGTTTCTTTTTGAGGTGAGATTTTACTTTTCAAGTAAGAAGGGACATTAAATTACCAATCAGTGCGAGAGACTGACATGCTTTAGTAGCCCGGTTTTCAAAAAAACAGGTATATATAATTTATATTTAACAATTATTCGCCGAAGGCGAAGTTAATATTGTTGAATAATCCCCGAGACGAATATTCAACAATATTAACTGAGCCTGAGGTGAATAATTGTTTTAGTATATTCACACGAAGTGATCTCAACAGAATCAGAAAGGAAACCATTAAAAAACGAGTAGTTTGATTGACTGGTGAATTCATGCGTGAACACGAAGCCGTAAACAGTGGATACGCAAAAGTTAGATCTTTACAGTATCTTCAAACATGGCAAATGATAGTTCTAATCTTTTTGTATCGCTTTTTATAAGCTTCAGCATCAACAGTTTAAAAGAAAACCCCGAAAATTCAAATTACTACCCAATTCTAAGAAGAAAAGTAGAGCTTTGTTTGTTTCTGTCAACTCCCCGTGAATGAGAAAGTTTTCTTTGTCGCTTCTTGCAAATGCTGTCAACAGCGGCTACGATCAAGGTGGGCGTTGTTTATTTCCAAAGTTCTTTGCCTTGTTAACTTGCTGGCACGTACAATTTTCGAAAATATTTGCCTTCCTCTTTTCTCCATAAATTAACTTCTATTTATGGGCAAAAGTGGTCTTGCGCGAAAATACCGAAATCACAAAACAGTGACAAGCGACCTCGTTTTCCTCTGTAGTGGTAAACATAGCTTCGAGCGCACAAAAAGTCAGCTACAGTAAACCACTTCACAATAAATCACGCTGTTTAAACACCATGAAGTCTTTTCTTGCCTTCAAAGTCATCAGCACTTGGATATTCGAGTATTTTCAAAAAGGCTTTACTATGAAACTTTGGCAAAACACGCAGTTCACGACTAGCGCGGTGAATATACCCGAGATAGCTACTGAGTTTGTATATACTAAATATTATATATCTACTCGTTTTTACGCTTTTTAATTTTTATTGTATATAACCATGTATTTTATTATGTTTTTCTTATATCTCTGTAACGCGCATTTGATCGCACAGTCGACTCTCTCTTAACGGACACCTCTATAAGACGGACACCTCTGTAAAACGGACACTTGGAGTTGGTCCCTGCCTTTCTTTACTCCCTTCATTTGACTCTCTATAAGACGGACACCATTCTAACACGGACACTTAGTGCCGGTCCCAAAGGTGTCCGTCTTAGAGAGAGTTGACTGTATACATATGTGTCCATGTGTCGAATTGTTTCCTTTAGTAACATATTTCCCATGCATTTTCTTCGTGAAAATGTCTAACAGTCCCCGATACTGATCCTTTATGACTGGTGTAATAATACTTAAATTTCGACACTGCGCGCCATAGTCTCCAGCAGATCAGTGGTTATAAGAGCATCCGAATTAGAACTCGGGGGGTCGTCAGTTCGATTCCCACCCATGGCTCAGAATTTTTTTCTTAGCTCTCTGTGTTAGATTACTCCTTCTTCCAAAAAGATTTTTATCCCAGATGTTAATAATAGGAAGCCGGTACAAGAATTTTTCCTTCTGCCACTCGGTATAATAGTATAACGTTTCTATAAATGCCTCCTTCTTGGGATGTCCAGGTACTAGTAGCTATGCTACCACAACCCCTACCCAGAAACATTTGCGGTGTAACCCCACTACCCTGAGGGACCTCTTCTCCTTTTTGTTTCGTAGGTCTACGCTACCCATGACCCACGACTTTGTACCCACTACTCACGACCCGGTGCCCACAACCCACGACTATTAGTTACTCCCAAAAGTTGGTATGAAGTTATTTGGGCTTAAATGGTTAAGGAGGTAAACTGACTTTATCAATTCAGATCATGAACGTGCATGATTGCGTGAAGTTTTCTTATTTTCTTCTTACCTGGATTTTAGTTTCAAACTCTCTGATTTTCTGTTTATAGCTACTGCTGTCGACTATTAAGAGATCGGTCTGAAAAATAACATAGAACAGCTAGAATACTACTGCATAAGCACGCAGCATCGTATCTGATCCAATAATACAAAAGAACCAATCCCAATTCTCATTTTGTTAACTTTAACTTAAAACAACATGGTGCTATGCAGCTCTTTGAGACAGTAGTCCATAATGATAAAGCTAACATTTTGAATACTATTTCCATAAACAAATACTCGGAATCATTTAACCTCTGAAATTGACCTGTATTCAATTTTGCTTTGACCTAAACCGCCCAAAGGTTTCAACATGTCAGTCTACAGACACATGATTCCAAATGCTTCATCATTTTCATACTTTCTGATAGATCAGCAA